CTACTTCGAGTTTACTGTATGTACGTATTTAGAATGTGTAAAATTAAAAACATTATTTTAAATGACTCAATTCTTGTAAAAATTGAAAATAATTCTGAATTATTTCCAAAATAACACACTTTTTTAATAAGTCGTTACATACCTGTTTTAAATTTGATTTAGTTTTAAAAATAAAAATCACAGATTTGTTTATTTTTTTCATTCCTCCAGTGTGCCCCTCTGAAATTCAGTATGTTTCCGTTTAAGTAATTACCTGCACTCAAAACATTCCCCTGGTACAAATCAAATAAATCAAATTTGTAATGAAAATAAATCATCATGTGCAAAAATAAAAAAGTGTGGCTAGGTTAAATTTTTTGTGTAAATATTTTTTATTTTAACGATCTTTTTTCTCAGCTGAACAATTCAAATTTTGTTTTTAAATATTTACTTGAAATGATTAACACACATGATGAAGTAAATCTCAAAACCGTTCGACTAACGTAAATGGTATGAATGAAGTCTTAATTTAAAAATAGTTTTGGAAAATAAATAATGGTTTTTTCCTCACGATCTGTGCGTCATTACTGAATAATTTACTTGAGCAAATGCACAAAGTTTAAGTATCATTATCACTTACAATCGGCATTTAAGGAGTTGTAAGGGGATGCTTCCATAATCTTTGAAATTCTAAACATTTTGAAAAAATTCACTGCTTTTCAATAAACTAAAAATCAAATAATAGCATTTTGTTTTTAATTCAATAGTTAAAGAAACATTGAAAACTAAAGAACTTTGTAATTTTACCCAAAAGTTAAAACAACAACAAAATTAATTAAAATGTGCAGTTTAATTAGAATTTCTTCTTTTTATAGACTTATTGGCAATTAAAAAAAAAAGTTTTTTATTGATGTTGCTTTTAAAGACAAAGAGGATGTAAAATAGAAATCAGGAAATGATAAAATGAAAAAATAAGAAAACCCTAAATTGTTATGCCCTACACCTTTAACGTGGAAAGGGTACTGTTCACACACACCTTTTTTAGAAACACTCTGATTCGATTTAACTAATTTATAGTCAAGACTATAGACTGGTCTATAGACTAACCCGTACTCAAGACTATAGATTGGTGTATAGACTAATCTATAGTCAAGACTATACCTGATCCATAGACTAATCTATAGTCAAGACTATAGACTGGTCCATAGACTAATCTATAGTCAAGACTATAGACTGGTCTATAGACTAATCTATAATCAAGACTAAAGACTGGTCTATAGACTAATCTATAGTCAAGACTATAGGCTGGTTATAGACTAATATATAGTCAAGACTATAGACTGGTCTATAGACTAATCTATAGTCAAGACTATAGACTAGTCTATAGACTAATCTATAGTCAAGACTATAGACTGGTCTATAGACTAATCTATAGTCAAGACTATAGACTGGTCTATAGACTAATCTATAGTCAAGACTATAGACTGGTCTATAGACTAATCTATAGTCAAGACTATAGACTGGTCTATAGACTAATCTATAGTCAAGACTATAGACTGGTCTATAGACTAATCTATAGTCAAGACTATAGACTGGTCTATAGACTAATCTATAGTCAAGACTATAGACTGGTCTATAGACTAATCTATAGTCAAGACTATAGACTGGTCTATAGACTAATCTATAGTCAAGACTATAGACTGGTCTATAGACTAATCTATAGTCAAGACTATAGACTAGTCTATAGACTAATCTATAGTCAAGACTATAGACTGGTCTATAGACTAATCTATAGTCAAGACTAAAGACTGGTCTATAGACTAATCTATAGTCAAGACTATAGACTGGTCTATAGACTAATCTATAGTCAAGACTATAGACTGGTCTTTAGACTAATCTATAGTCAAGACTATAGACTGGTCTATAGACTAATCTATAGTCAAGACTATAGACTGGTCTATAGACTAATCTATAGTCAAGACTATAGACTGGTCTATAGACTAATCTATAGTCAAGACTATAGACTGGTCTATAGACTAATCTACAGTCAAGACTATAGACTGGTCTATAGACTAATCTATAGTCAAGACTGAATATTATTCTTGACGGCTGAGAGAGGAACACCACAGACTGGTCTTTATATATAATTCACCTTTGATCAATTCATTTCAGATTTCCTACAAACAAACGATATGTTCATACATATGTACAAATATTGCGTAGTTTATTACGGACATGATAATGCAGTTTATTGGTAATACAGTGTTTAAAATAATTAAAATTTTTCTAGGAATTGTTAGTTTTGAAGCCATAAACTTGACCTGAAGGTAAAAACAGTTTAACAGTTTTAAACAATTATTATTATATTGCAGTCTGATATGACCTTTAAAGGGGTTTAAGCTTTTTTGGACATCTTAATAATATTGTTAAGTTTCTTTTGCTTTTCTTACTATGTAAATACTTACTGTTATTCTCAACTTTATGAGACTCTTTTGGGCTACATAATATATATATTTTTTAATAGTTTATTTTATTATTTTTCTTTTTGTTACAATTTTTCTTTTTTTATACAAATGAGCTTTTAGTTTTATATATAAAGAATAAACAAAAAAATTACAATTTGAAATTATAAATATGTATAATTTACAATTATAATGGACATTTATATTGTTATTAATTTTTAAAGATAAATTTAACATAAAATTTCACATAAAATTTATTAAAAAAGAAAAACATTGAAATTATTAAGAGGAAGACTATGAAAAACAAATGAAGAAAAATTTGTGTAATTTAATAGAAATAATGTATTTTTTATAAATTTTAAAAATTGTTTAATGGAAGCAATATTTATAATAGATTTAATTTAACTAAATATTTTTTTATTTAATTGGAGTTTTCCTTTTTTTTAATTGAATTTTTATTTAGTTACTTTTTTTTCTTAAGAATGTAGAAACCATTTTATAGGGTTTACAGTCGGTGACAAAAAATAAGACGAATTAAAAAATTTAAATAAAATTAGTTGCATTTACTAGTGCATAGAGATTATCTTTTAACAAAGATATATGTTTCTCTTAAAGAATGGTACAACAGGATTGTATTCATAGTCCTACCTCGGCCTACATTGACCGGGAGAGAATCTGAGAATAAAGCTTTAAAATTTCATGGAAAGTCTTGTCTTCGAAGTATTATGAACTGTAAATCTCTTGCCAATTGCATTCACTGTATGTTAAGTTTTCTCTTAATTTTTTTGTCACTGACTGTAGTATAAATGTTTATTTATTTAACAAAAATATTATATTTTAACTAATTTTATTTAATTTTTGTTTAAAGATGAGTAGAAATTTCTAATATTTGTTTTTCAGTTTTTTTCTTATTTTTTTTTCTGTTAAATTTACATATAAGTTTAAGTTCTAATACATAAATACTTTATTTAATTTGTTGTTATTGTTATAATTATATTAATTGTTAAATTTATTATTTATTTACTTAAATTTTATCATAAAAACTACAGAAAAATTGTATTTTCATAAAATTTTGGTTCCATATTGTTGCATAGTTTTATCATTGATTTTTTAAAAGTTTTTGTAAAAACTTTTTAGGCAGCAGAATAATTGATTTAAGAAGAGCTTTTTAAGCTTGATCGAAAAAGCATTAAAGCTTTTTTTGTTGAAAGCTAAACATTTGAAAAGTTAAAAGCTTTAAAATTTATGATCAGCATAATTAATGATATAAGAGGAGCTTTAAGAATTACCGAAAAAGCTTTTAAGCTTTTTTTTTGTAAATACCCTAAAATAGTATAAAAAAGGAGTAAAAAAATAAAAAGCTTTAAAATTTGTAATCAGAATAATAAAACGTTTTTGAGAGCTTTATTCCAAAGCTTTTAAGCTTATTTCTTAAAATACTAATATAGTTTGAAATAAGAGTAGTTGAAAAGTTAAAAGCTTTAAGATTTAAGTTTAGAATATTAGAATAACTTCAAAATCTAAAAGTTTTTAATATGTTGCTATAAAGTTTATACAGCTAAAAGCTTATTATGATCACAAAAAGTTATGAAATCATTTAAGAGCTTTTAAAAGATTTTATAATATTGAAGAGCTTTTAAAGCTTATAATTATAACATACATATATATTGTACTTAAATAAAAGCTTTCGTTGCAAATATTTAAAAACAAGTTCTTAAAGAGCTTAAAACTTAACGAAAGCTTACATTTCAATAGAAATCTAAGAAAGTAATAAAACAAATTAAAAGCTTTTTTTCGAAAAGCTTTGTAAATTTTAATTGAAAAAAGAGCTTTTTAATCACTGCTGTGGGAAATTTTCTTTGGAAAAAAATATCCTAAGAGAACTATAAAATTTAAACTTTGGAAACAGCTTTAAAGTTAATAAACACTTAAAAGCACTTTAAAACAATTTTAAGCAAATAAAATTGTAAAAGAGCTTTTAATTTTAAAAATTTAAAACAAATAGTCTAAAAAGATTAAAATAATAATTTGAAAATGAAAAAAATTTACAAGATTTTATAAAAGTTTAGTAATAAATTACAGTAACTGAAGTTTAATAATCAAAAGCTTTGTAAAAGCTTTCTTGTCTAATAGAAATAAAACTTTGAAATGCTCATTTATAAATAAAACTTTAAAAAGCTTTTGAAATGTCAAACAAAAAATTTAAATATTATAAATGTTTTGAAAAGCTTAATTAACAAAGCTTTTCCTATAACAATTATGTTGCCACCTTAAAAATCTTTATAATTTTTTTAAATATGTATAATTTTTTTAATTAAGAGCAGTAACGTTTAAATTTAATTATTTTTGTTGTTGTTGTTGCTTGTTGGTTTTTTAATTAAATTTGATTTAATTTTGATTATCAGGCTTTAAATTTTTTCTCTAGTATATTTTAAATTTTTAATATTTTTTTACAACTTTTGTTTATTTATTTTTTTTATAATTTTTCTAAAAAAAATATTTTTAAATAAAATAAATGAAAAAAAAAAATATTTTACAAAAATAGTTTTAATTATTTATATATAAATTATTATTGTTTTAGCTTTATTTTATCATATATTGAAAAGAAACCTTAATATTTAACATTACAATTCATATATATTTATTAGCAATTATAGTTTTTCTTTAAAGAAATGCTTTTCTTTTATTAATTATTTATAATTTATTTGATCATTTGTATTTCCTGTATATCGTGTCATAACATTTTATATATATTTTACAAAACTTGCAAATTTTCGCAGTGTTTAAATTTTGAATCTTCTTTACCCAAAATCCATGTCAACATTTGTCTTGCCTTCATGCTGGCCATCATAACGCTGCGACTCTTATACCAGTGGGCCGGTGAGGGTGAGGTATCACGATGACCCTGTTTATAGCAAAAAAAAAAAAAAAAAACAAAATAGAGAAAAATGAAATCATATAGATTTGATTAATTAGTTTTTAATTACTCTGGTACATATTGTGCTGTATTTTAGTAAATATTCTGAAATAAAAGCTTTTTGTTTTTCGACAGTGAAACATACATATATATTGGATAAAAATTTAAAAAAATGTGCAACATAATGGAAAAAAATCTTTAAGTACTATATGTATGGGGAGGTGGTATTGTAAATAGTTCATTTGTTTATATGTACAATATGGATTTGGAAAGCTATAGCAAATATGTAATGAACATTAAGAAATTTTACTAAATAATAGATCTATAGTATATGTACAATATATAAACACATATGTATGTATATGATTTTGTAACATGTGTGAGGGTGGGCCGAAAAGATTAAATTTCTTTGAAGAAGAAAAAATTTTTTAACGTATTATATAATCACTGAATATTCTTTATTCTAGTCATAGTTTAGTCTATAATCTGTTATATAGTTTAATGCATAACTTCTGGACAGTAGTCTGTTGTCTGGACTGTAATCTATTGTCTAGACTATAGTATATAGTCTGAATTATGGACCAGTCTATAGTCTGCACTATAGTCTATTCTACCGTCTGCAATATATTCTAGTCTACACTCTAATCTACACTCTTGTCTATACTTTGGACTATAGCCTACTTTATAGTTTCGACTATAGTCTAGTTTATACTTTGGACTATTGTTTAGTCTATACTCAGCACGGCAGCCCACTTTATAATTTGGACCACAGTCTGGACTATAGTCTAGTCTATAGCCAGGATTTTAGTATGTATAGTCTATTGCCTGGACTATAGTCTAGTCTATAGCCTGGAGTATAGTTTAGTCTATAGTGTAGACTATAGTATAGTCTTCAGTCTGGACTATAGTCTAATCTAAAGTCTGGATTACAGACCAGACTATAGTATTGATTATAGACCAGACTATAGCCTTGACTATATACCAATCTATCGTCTTGATAGCCTGGTCTGTTGTATAGACTGTAATCTATTGTCTGGGCTATAGTATATGGTCTGAATTACAGACCAGTCTATAGTCTGCACTATAGTCTATTCTAGTCTATATTCTGGACTATAGTCTAGTATATACTCTACAGTATAGTTAAGTCTATAGCCTCTACTATAGTCTAGACTATAGCTTCTACTATTGTCTAGTCTATAGTCTGAACTATAGTATAGTCTACAGACTGGACTATAGTCTAATCTATAGTCTGTACTATAGGCTGGACTATAGACCAGTCTGGACAATAGACCAGTCTATAGTCTGCACTATAGTCTATTCTACAGTCTAGAATATATCATAGTCTACACTTTCAACTGTAGCCTACTTTACAGTTTCGAGTATAGTATAGTCTATACTCTGGACTCATGTTGAGTCTATAGCCAGAGTATATGTACTCTGGACTACAGGCTACTTTATAGTCTGAACTATAGTCTAGTCTATAGCCTGGATTTTAGTATAGTCTATAGCCTGGACTATAGTCTATAGTCTGGACTATAGTATAGTCTTCAGTCTAGACTATAGCCTAATCTATAGTCTGGGCTATTGTCTAGTCTTCAGTCTGGTCTATGGGCTGGATTTTAGTATAGTCTATAGCCTATAGTCTGTAGTCTGTACTATAGTATAGTCTTCAGTCTGGACTACATACCAATCTATAGTCTTGACTATAGACCAGACTATAGTATTGACTAAAGACCAGTCTATCGTCCGGACTATAAACCAGCCTATAGTCGTGACTGTATATATCAGTCTATAAGACTATAGACTGGTCTATAGGCAAGATTATAGACCTGTCTATAGCCTTGACTGTAGAACTGTCTATAGTCTGGACTGTAGACCAATCCATAGTCTTGACTGTAAACCTTTCTATTGTCTTGACTATAGACCTTTCTGTAGTCTTGACTGTAGATCTTTCTATAATTTTGACTATAGACCTGTCCATAGTCGTTTGTCTAGAAGAGTGTCTATATTATTATGTCTGGGCTATAGCCTAGACAATATGTGCACTACAGTTTTGACTATAGACCTGTGACATAGCCCAGACTATAGTGAAACTATAGTCTGGACTATGGTCTAGTCTATAGGTACACAATATCCTGGACTATATTCTAGCCTGGTCTATAGTCCAGACTATAGTCTAGTGAGTAGAAAAGACTACATTTTAGTCTATAGTCTGGATTATATTCTGGAAAACAGTATGGACTACAGTCTAGCCTAATATATAGTCCAGTCTAGTCAATGGAGTAATGTAAACTCTAGTCTATTGTAGAGTCTGTATTCTAATCTTGGCTATAAGTTCACTACATCTTGTACTATATTCTACCTTGGTCTGGACTAGTCCCTAGTCTATAGTCTTGATAGTAGTCTAACCTATATGGTAATATACTTCTAGAGTCTTTACTACTGTTTATGTTTGGAATACAGGATTGTTTATATATCACACCATTGACTACAGTTATGTAGGTAATGAAATTATTTTTCTCTATTTTCGACACACCCTTTAAATAGTATTTCTTTAAATATAAAATAATAAGTACAAAAGTGCTATTGACCTCAATTGTGACTGAAATATTTACAGTATAGGTACAGTGTGCATTTTATATATACATATGTATATGTATGTACAATATAAATAAGAAAAGGTACGAAAAGAAAACATTAAATATGTGTGTGCAAGATGATGATTTGGAAATGTTTTGAAAACTTAAACAAAAATCAAGAAGTTTATTTAATAAAAGTTGGCAAGAACAAAATATGGAAAATAGAAGAAATTTTAAAGATTATAAAGGTGATTTACTGGGGTTTGATTAAAAGGGCCAAATTATCAATGTTCTGGACATACATATATAGTAAATAAATAATTGATAAATTTATTGAGTTATAGTATATTATAGAACTTTGTAGACAAGTAAATTTTCAATATATTGGGTGTATAAATTAGAAATAACTTCAAATCATTCTGTAGAGTTTGGTCTATGATTGACCTTTAATGCTATAAGGGGACATAAAATAGAATTTTCACAAAGGGAATTTTGTAATAACAGAGCTTTAAGGTCTCAAAAGGAATGTGTAAAAATATGCATTAACTGAAAATATTTAAACTTATATGGGAAACAAAAAACTATTGCATATGTAAAGGCTATACTTTTTAGATATATTTGCAGTATAATTACAGGGAGTATAAAATTGAAAAAACAATTTATAATTAAAGAAAAACAAAAACCTACTTTCGGAAAGTAATTAAACTTTTGTATTAAAAAACTATTGCCTATATTAAGGCTACACTTCTTATACATATTTATAGTATAATTACAGGGAGTATAAACAAATAACAAAAAAATATTGTTTGACATATATTACAGAAAGGATTTAAATTTATAAGAAAAACATTTATCCACATTTGCTCAATTTCTAGTTATTTTTATCATAACATTTTGTTATAAAAATAACTTCTTGATAAATGATAACTGGAGCTTGAGATAATGGGCTCTTTTTTTAAATAAATATTGGTAGGATTTAAACACCAAATAATTAAAATATTGTTTTAAGGGGAATTTTGTTAGATTTAAAAAAAAAAAAACATTTATACAGACGATTTACTCACCATAACTTCACAATTTTTATCATTTAACGATTTTTCCCCTTGATCAAAATCATAATTCTTATTGTGACAATTATTATCGCTATTCAAATTGTCTTTTGGTTTATCTTTATCTTTAGATTTATTTTTGATTTTTTTCGTTTTAGGCTAAAGTGAACAATAATAACAATGAGATGAAAGAAGTTTTGTGGATAAAAGAAATTAAATAAATTAAAATGAAATAATTGCAAAGTTGTGTTAGAAAACAAATATTTTTTTTAGTAAAAAGGCCAATTAATATGATAAAAAAAAAAACAAATCATAAAAATACAATAAAAAACATTGTGTCAAAGTGAGGTTATGTTTCAATATGTGTGTGTATGTGTACGTGTTTTTGTGTAAGAGTTGTAAAGCGAAAGTAAAAGGAAAAAAGCCAGTTTTTTGAAAATTTAAAATTTTGTTTTTCTTTACTTAATTTGTTGTTAATAAATCTTGTTTTAATTAATATCACCACTAACCTGCAATAAATTTTGTTCTTTTTTCAAGCGTATTTGTGTTAAAGTTCCTGCCAATAGTTCATCACAGTTGTGATTAATGCCCACCGATACTTCTATAAATTTCGCCCCAAATGTACAGGCCAAACATTTGCCATCTAAAAGGGAAAAAACAAATTGTTAATAAAAAAGTATATAACATAATTATCACTTAAATTGTTAATTAATAAATATTTAATTATTATTTGCTATTACAAACTTACCCTGGGCGGAAACGGCACGTGATCTCGCTAAATCAATTTTATTTGCCACCAATATAATGGGTCGTGTTCTAATTAAATCCATATCTTGTAGACGTGATAAAATCTGTTTAGCTCGTGTAAATGATTCCTTGTCCACGCAAGAGTATACAACCAAAAAAGCATCGGCTTTTTCCAGTTCATCCTTTTAGGGGGGTGGTGGTGTTTGTTTATTATTTTGGGCAGATTATGATGTGATTAGAAAATTAAAAATATATTTAATTGTATTATTGTTATATTCATTAATGAGGCAAAATTATGTTATTATTATCCTAATTTTAATATTTGCTTAGGGCAAACTAAATTATACTGTTTACTTTTGGTAAAGAAATTTGTTAAATTTTTGTAAATAAATATATTTATACCCTACACCGCTTTAGTGGGGAGGGTATATTGGGTTTGTGCTGATGTTTGTAACGCACAATAGTATTGGTCCTATACACATCTTAAAGTATACCAATCGGCTCAGAATCATTTTCTGAGTCGATTTAGCTATGTCCGTCCGTCTGTCCGTCCTTCCATGTAAACCTTGTAATCAAACTAAAGGTAGCAATTTTGAAGATAATTCAATGCAATTTGGTACATGATCTTCTATTGTCTCAGGGACGAAGCCTATTGAAAATGGTTAAGATCGGTCCATTATTTCACCTAGCCCCCATACAACTGAACCCCCAATAGGGCTTGTGATCCTTGTAATCAAACTACAGGTCGCAATTTTGGAGATAATTCAATGAAATTTGACACATGATCTTTTATGGTATCGTAGACGAAGCCCATTGAAAATGGTTAACATCGGTCCATTATTTCACCTAGCCCCCATACAACTGAACCCCCAATAGGGCTTGTGATCCTTGTAATCAAACTACAGGTCGCAATTTTGGAGATAATTCAATGAAATTTGACACATGATCTCTTATGGTATCGTAGACGAAGCCCATTGAAAATGGTTAACATCGGTCCATTATTTCACCTAGCCCCCATACAACTGAACCAGCCGAATAGGTCTTTTAAGTTCATAATTATGTTTAATATACTCATATCTCGACAAAAAGCTGCAAAAACCAAGTTGTATACAAGACTTGATGACCCTCACGAATTCCATAATAATAGGTTCTCATATGACCCCAGCTCCTATGAAAAGCCCCCATCAAAATTTTACTTAAATGTCCACAATTTTATTCAACAATAAACGGCATAAGTATGTATATCTAAAGCAAGGTACAATTAAACTTAAATGCTTTATTATGGCAACTAAATCACATTATATTTTTGTCAAAGGTGTAGGGTATTATATGGTCGGCCTCGCCCGACTATAATTTCTTACTTGTTGTATCATAATTTTCTGCACTATTTTCTCTTGTTACTTTCAAAGACATATTAAGCTACATGCTCTCACCATTTAGTCCCCACATATGGTGCTAAAGGCATGAATTAAAGCTATCTGTCTAATTTCTATGCTAAGAGCGCCTTCCCGATAAGAGAGCCTTTTCAAGGATAACTTACTTCAGCTACACCTTGAAATTAATGGTGCCTATGTTAGAGAAACCAATTGAATCTCATTATAAAGTTTTAAAATAACCAATGTTAACATTAACACCCAAGCTGAGGTCACAGATCAAAGTTCCAATCAAACTTCTGTGCTCTGTAATGCTGTCGACAGAGAAACTTACATTCCAAGCCGAATCATAACCCTCATGTGGTGTTATTCAAATGATAACGATTTGTTATATGCCTTTCCACATGCCAACTGGCCATCTCATATCCTAGATAGCCATTCCAGGAACATATCTTTATATCATGCTTGATTGACCGACCTTCTACATAAGAGGTGGCACTATTCAATGACCTCGACAAATTTAAGGCTGATATCACTGATATCCAGAAGATGAGATGGACAGGACGGAGAAGTACGCGACGTAAAAATTGCGACAAAGAAACTGGACATTGCAAAGCTTCAAATACCAGAGATAGAAACAGCCTATTCCAACCAGCATTTCCAGCTTGCAAAGCTTCAAATACTAGAGATAGAAACAGCCTATTCTAACCAGCTTTTCCAACTACATCAATTCAAGGCACCTATTTGAGGCGTTTCTGATGTACAGTGGCAGCAGAGAAATATGTACGTCGATACGGAAAAACCTCACTCAGACCACTTCTGGTATGGGGCCAATTGTAACCTGTGCTATTATAGAATGACACAAGGAAAAAGACAACAAGGCGAACCAACTACATATTAGGGCTGAGAAACGACTATTGCGGAAACATGAGAGCCAGGATATTGAGAGGTAAAGTGATAGAGGAAAAAGTAAAAACTTTCACAAGATAGTTAAGAAGAAGAGTTATGGTACTGAACAGGCTATTCAAAACCGGTGGCGAAGAAGCATGACCGATAATTTGAGTCTGAGTTTATTAAACTCTGTACTTTAGTACTATCTACCGTGAAATTAGCATTTTAGCCAGTCTTGTTGAGACAAGTCACTTTTGTCCCAACTGATAGGACTTTATCAATGCGTCTTTAGAGCTGGCAATTGAACAAAGTCTTCAGTAAAGATTAGCAAAGGCTTTACCGAGCCATTCTACACCAGCCGAAGCATTGGTCGAGAATAAATGACACCATTTATAGATCTCTTTCCTGCGTGTGACACACAATGTTCAATATCTTATTGTTCTAAAACTAAGAGATGTTACGCAGCCTTTTCAGATAATGAGCAAGAATCAGCCAATATGGGTTGCTCACCTTAAGATTCATATTATTGGTTTTCTACGAAGAAAGAAATTAATCGTCTGGGAAGTGAACGTTATTTTTTTCAAGATCTCTGGCTAATATCAGAGCATTGGACAACCGTACAGGAATTTTCAGATAATATCTGAAGTTTTCCCCGACAACAAAACCAATTACTTTTCGGCAACTGCAACTTGAGATGTGTTTGGTAATCATCTCAAGTTGCTAAGACATCGTTCATTACACATCGTCTTTTACATTCATCTTCATTCAAACCATAATAAAAATCTTTAACCTGTCACATTTATTGAGAAAAACATCCGACACATTCACTTGTTAGTACGGGTATACTGAGGCTCATATACCCCCAATCCCGGCGGCCTAAAGTCTAAAGTAACGGTTGACTAAAGTAACATGCTCCAATTGGATCTTTTGAAGGCAGTAGAAATCACTCAGAAGCAAGTTGGAGCGTAAAGACGTTAAAAAATGATTATGTATGTCCGAAATGCTGCTTGAACGCTATAATAGGTCATTTTCCCATCGAATAATTATTGGCGATGGAAAGTGGATTTATTCCGACAACCCAAAGTGGAGGAAATCGTATGTGAGGACTGGCTAAACAACTAAATCAACGCCGAATATTGATGACGACAAGGTAATGGTGAGATCATTAAGGTCTACTGAGAATTGCTGAAATCGGATTAGATAATAACAAGTAGGCTGAATATGTGACCTGATATGACGTTATATTAGATCATGACACATGTTGTGAGATCAAGTTAATGTTGTTGTGGAAGTTTTGACTCATCTAATTTATAATCATAGACCTATAGTCGTCTGACTTATATTTTTTCGATCGATGCAGTACGCTCTCTCTGAAATGCTTTTCTTTAAAACAGAGTGTCAATAGCTCAGAGTAAAATTTGCCCACAATATCGCATTTGTATACACCTAGCAAGGCTATTGTGAAGGTAGGGCTAGCTCAGACAATACGCCCAATTCCATTGTATCATTAACGTCTTTATTTTGAACAGAATTAACCCTTAAAGTACGCCAAACTTCATCTATCGAATCCACATCAGGGCCAAATAGGCGTATGATAAACATGAGCTTTCATTTAGTCGAATATCATCTACAAAACTGCAATTGATCTGGTATAAATCAGCAAAGATCAACGAACACTTGGGCTACAAGTGATCAACAGTGACCGTTGTCATCCTGAGAGATGAAAGTGTCATGTTTATCCGATGAGATCGAGTAGACCGAGTAACGAACATCACAAAGAACTTTTCAAACGCAAAAGCATTCGTCTAAAGCTTTTTGAACGATATTGTGTTTTGTGGAACCTTTTAATCCTTTTATTCCTCTTCCAAAAGCAGACATCTGACAGTAGATATATTACCCTCCGATGTTAAGCTGGTTCCGAACTTGGTCGAGTGTAAGCTATCACTTTTTTCATCAGACCTTTCGACAAAGGTTACTATTCACCCTATTCACCACCTTTGTTGCAAGGTCTGAGGGAAAAAGTGATAGCTTACACTCGACCAACTTTTAAACCGCTTAATTTCGTGTGGGTAAATTAGGGTCCTACACAGAGGGAAAAAGAAATATACACACCTGGTACCAAATTGACATCAAAGATTTTATAATTTTTCAATAACATCCGTTATCAAAGTATATACATACGTACGACAACACTATGTTGCAACAATTCGTTGTCGAAATCTAAATTTTATACACATCCATTGTCTAAATGTTAACAAACGTTAACATTTATTTAACATTTATTTACGTTATTTTCAACGGATTGTTTGTCAATAGTGAGCTTACCACGTTTGTTAACATTTAGACAATGAATGTGTATAAAATTTAGATTTCGACAACGAATTGTAGCAATGTTGTCAACATTACATAGTGTTGTCGTACGTATGTATATACTTTGACAACGGATGTTATTTAAAAATTTTAAACAGTTTGGTGTCAATTTCGTACCAGGCGTGTATATTTCTTTTTTCCCTCTGTGTAGTAGTTTTCACTTAAAAAATTTACTCTTTATTAAAAGTTACTTTTTGATGTTTATATTTTGAGTCCTTCTCAGGATAAGTAACATTTTAACAACATTATATATTATTGATTCATATTCTCTTTAGTGAAAGAAAACTTAAACTTAAAATTAAACTCTACAATTGTACAAAATCCCTGAAAGTTGTTTGTTTGTTTCACTATTTGTAAAACTCTAAAACAAACTTTGCCAAAAATCGCCCAAACACTGACAAAATGAGAAGAATATTTGTAAAACAAATATAATTAAATGTGTAGCAACAACTACAACCATTGTAAACAACATTACATTAAATTTAATACATACATGTATTCTAAAGCATATGTATGTGTGTGTTCTAGAAAGAACATGAGATAATGAGCATTAAAATGATGATGGCGGCATTAAGGTCCGTTATTCTTTCATCTTTACAAAAGTAACTGCATGTGTGTGTGTAGTGTATTTGTTTACTACTACAAATATTTGCTCTTTAATGTCATGTTTGCCTTAATACTTGTACTTATTACAAACAAACTAAAATAAAAAATGCTAAAAAAACACAGAATAAGTGATTTTAGTATTGTTGTTTTTCTATTTTTTTCTATTAATTTTACAAAATAATATGAATTTTGTAAATGGTGCAAATTATTATTTTGCAACCGTTTCTTACGTTTCTGCTCCCTTCCATTATATTTATAATTTTGTTGTTGTTTTCGTGTTTTGCATTTGGCCAAAGGCCAACATACATTATATATATTATGGAGGGATAAATGTTCATGTTGTTTTCCCTTACATTTTTTGTTTGTTTGCCAACTACAAAACCCCATAACAAAACTAAAAGAATGCCGGGCTTTTACATTGTCCCATTAGTACAGATGAGCAGAAAAAAAAAACAACTTTGTAAAGTGTAACCAAAGAAATTTACACAACAAATTCATTTTGACTTTAAATGGAGGAGGCATAGTAGAAATGAAAACAAAAAATTATCAACCAAAATGTCTGGTTTATAATGTGTAAAAGTTGCCAGTTTTTCAATGCTTCATATTTTATTATGCAGTCAAATAAATTTGAATTTTTTGTCATATTTTTTTTGGTTAGCAAATCATATTTGCTTTAATTTGTTTGTGTTTTGTGCGTTCTTTATAAATTTGTCACATTTATTAAGTATGAAATTGTTGAAAATTTATTAGATTTTTAAATTAAAAATGTAATCGAAAACAAAAATAAATTATTAATTGCTGTTAAGCTGCTTAAAGTTTTTTTAGTATTAAACATTTTTTTAAATTTATCAAAGGCTTATAAAATAGCATTTGTTTTGCAATATTTCTTATTTAATATCCATTTAACTTACCTTTAATTCACGTGCATTTATTAAAAATTTCAATTCCGATTCGACACCATTTAAAATAATTGAAATATTTTGTTCAGCTTCATCACATTCTGCAAGTAGAAAAATTAAAAATATAAATTTAAACTATTTTCTGAACTATATATAGGCTTATAGTCTGAATTATATGTATCATATAGTGTGTTATAGATTCGACTATAGTCTGGACTTTATACAACAGACTGAAGTATAAACTCGACTAGAGTCTGCAATATAGACCCGACTATAGTCTGCACTATACACTCGACTATATTTTGGACTAAAGACTCAACTATAGTCTGGACGATAGACTCGACTATAGTGTGGACTATAGACTCGACTATAGTCTGGACTATAGACACGACTATAGTCTGGACTATAGAATCGACTATAGTCTGCATTATAGACTCGACTAGAGTCTGGACTATAGAATCGACTAGAGTCTGGACTATAGACCCGTCTATAGTCTATACTCGACTATAGTCTGGACAATAAACTTGACTATATTCTGGACTATAATTCGACTATAGTCTGGACTATATATTCGACTATAGTCTGGACTATAGACTCGACTATAGTCTGGACTATATACTCGACTATAGTCTGGACTATAGACTCGACTATAGTCTGGACTATAGACTCGACTATAGTCTGGACTATAGACTCGACTATAGTCTGGACTATAGACTCGACTATAGTCTGGACTATAAACTTGACTATAGTCTTGACTATAAACTCGACTATAGTCTGGACTATATACTCGACTATAGTCTGGACTATAGACTCGACTATAGTCTGGACTATAGACTCGACTATAGTCTGGACTATAGACTCGACTATAGTCTGGACTATAGACTCGACTATAGTCTGGACTATAGACTCGACTATAGTCTGGACTATAGACTCGACTATAGTCTGGACTATAGACTCGACTATAGTCTGGACTATAGACTCGATTATAGTCTGGACTATAGACTCGACTATAGTCTGAACTATAGACTCGACTATAGTCTGGACTATAGACTCGACTATAGTCTGGACTATAGACTCGACTATAGTTTGGACTATAGACTCGACTATAGTTTGGACTATAGACTCGACTATAGTTTGGACTATAGACTCGACTATAGTCTGGACTATAGACTCGACTATAGTCTGGACTATAGACTCGACTATAGTCTGGACTATAGATTCGACTATAGTCTGGACTATTGACTCGACTATAGTCTGGTCTATAGACTCGACTATAGTCTGGACTATAGACTCGACTATAGACTCGACTATAGTTTGGACTATAGACTCGACTATAGTTTGGACTATAGACTCGACTATAGTTTGGACTATAGACTCGACTATAGTCTGGACTATAGACTCGACTATAGTCTGGACTATAGACTCGACTATAGTCTGGACTATAGATTCGACTATAGTCTGGACTATTGACTCGACTATAGTCTGGTCTATAGACTCGACTATAGTCTGGACTATAGACTCGACTATAGTTTGGACTATAGACTCGACTATAGTCTGGACTATAGACTCGACTATAGTCTGGACTATAGATTCGACTATAGTCTGGACTCGACTCGACTATAGTTTGGACTATAGACTCGAATATAGTCTGGACTATAGACTCGACTATAGTCTGAACTATAGACTCGACTATAGTCTGGACTATAGACTCGACTATAGTCTGGACTATAGACTCGACTATAGTCTGGACTATAGACTCGACTATAGTCTGGACTATAGACTCGACTATAGTCTGGACTATAAACTTGACTATAGTCTGGACTATAGACTCGACTATAGTCTGGACTATAAACTTGACTATAGTCTTGACTATAAATTCGACTATAGTCTGGACTATATACTCGACTATAGTCTGGACTATAGACTCGACTATAGTCTGGACTATAGACTCGACTATAGTTTGGACTATAGACTCGACTATAGTCTGGACTATAGACTCGACTATAGTCTGGACTATAGACTCGACTATAGTCTGGACTATAGACTCGACTATAGTCTGGACTATAGACTCGACTATAGTCTGGACTATAGACTCGATTATAGTTTGGACTATAGACTCGACTATAGTTTGGACTATAGACTCGACTATAGTCTGGACTATAGACTCGACTATAGTCTGGACTATAGACTCGACTATAGTCTGGACTATAGACTCGACTATAGTCTGGACTATAGACTCGACTATAGTCTGGACTATAGACTCGACTATAGTCTGGACTATAGACTCGACTATAGTCTGGACTATAGACTCGACTATAGTCTGGACTATAGACTCGACTATAGTCTGGACTATAGACTCGACTATAGTCTGGACTATAGACTCGACTATAGTCTGGACTATAGACTCGACTATAGTCTGGACTATAGTCTGGACTATATACTCGACTATAGTCTGGACTAAATACTCTACTATAGTCTGGACTATAAACTCGACTATAGTTTGGACTATAGACTCGACTATAGTCTGGACTAAAGACGCGACTATAGTCTGGACTATTAACTCGATTATATTCTGGACTATAGAATCGACTATAGTCTGGACTATAGAGTCGACTATAGTCTGGACTATAGACTGGACTATAGACTGAGCTATAGTCTGGACTATAGACTGGACTATAGACTCGACTGTAGACTCGACTATAGTCTGGACTAAAGATTCGACTATAGTCTGAACTGTAGTCTCGACTATAGTCTGGACTATAACCTCGACGGTGGTCAAGTCTATTGACTCTGGACAATAGACTCGACTAGTCCAAGCTATAGTTGAGTCTATAGTTCAGACTATAGTTGAGTCTATAGGCCAGACTATGGTCGAGTCTATAGTCCAGTATATAGCAAAAATATTACCCATTAAAAATCTTTAGCCTGTTTACTCTTCTATCTAGATCAGAAAATCATTCTAATGCCATCTGTGTCATAATAAACTTGTTACTAGGTTACGTTTTAAAATATATTTGATACAATTTATTTTTAATTTGGGGTTAATAGTGTGTATGTATGGGTAATATACATTTTTGCAAAAACCTCAATTTAGTGAAAATTTATTTCCATTTTACTTTTTTCAAATTATAGGTTTCAATTGACAGTATGTGAAATACATACATTTCTGCAATATGATTAAATGCAGTTATTAAATATGTACCAGCCTTAATTTACAACACACACAAATACATTTCACTACGAAATTACTACTTTTGCTATGGAAAATATTTTAAACAATATTCATTTAATCTAGAAATATATATTTTTACATTTTATCTTCTTTTTTGAATATTAATGCCTTAAGAAAACAAAAAAAAAAAAAAACGGTAGACAAGTAATGAGATAAGATTATTATATTTATTTTTCACTTTACCTGGTCCATCGTAAGCATTAATACAGTCTGAAGTACGAAATTGGGAGACAAGTGCTTGTTTGCCCACACCGGGTGCTCCCAGCATTTCGACATGATAAACATCTACTTGCTGCTGTTGGCTGGCATCGTTGGGATTAACATCGGCATCTGTGCAGCCAGCTAAAGCACCAACGCGTGGGTGAATGGGACTGACGGGTGCCAAACTATTGCTGCGTGAACGACGACGTCTAAAGGAGTCGCCACGATTAATGATACCTGTGCGGATTAAAGTGTAAAAATAAAGAAAATATATAAATAAAAAAAGAATTATAAGTGACAAGATGCTTGGAAAAATATGTAATTATAGTTAATAAAGTAAAATGATGATGATGAAATAGAAATGCTACTAATAAATTAGTAAAATATAACACTTTGTCAATGGTTGGCTGAATTAAATTGCATTGCACTTGTTATTGCAAGAGAAGAAGTTTAAATTGTTATTACATTGAGGGTTTTTAAAAGAATTTTAAAAGTTGATTTCATAAATTTCAAATTTTACTACAATTAGTAATTTTCTTTGTTAAAACACCCTGACGTATACTTAATATATAATTCATTTCAAACTCATCACATCAATTATACGCACTGTTGTTTAATTTCTATGGAAATTATTGAGAGAGAAAAATTGAATTTTTATCTTAACTAAAACTTAAAACCTCAACAGACATTTTTACAGTTTTAGTTAAATACAAAAACTTTTCTATTCGTTTTATTTATTAAAATTTCTCGTTATAAACTACAAATTGCATGATTGCCTGCAATTTATTATAAATGTTAACAATTCTTAGTTTTTATTTTCTTGCAACCAACTACTTTCCATTTGTAAATTGATTGTGCAAAAAAAAAAAAAACAATTTTATTACTGTAATTTTCTAGTTGTATAGAGAGAAAAGTGCTAAAAATTGTGTAAAATTTTTTGCAAGTGTAAATAAATTTACAGACAGTAGTGGTTTGGTATAAGTCTGTTTTTACTGATACTATTTTATACTGTTTTATTTGTTGTGTTTTTTTTTAATTTTATATTATTTCTTTTTTGTTCCTTAATTTATATAAAATTGCATGCTTTAGCAAAAACAGCTTAAACACACTCCATTGAAATTTATATTAAATTGAAAACAGGAGTAGCAAACTAACAGTTGGAAACAAGTCTAGAATTTCCGTGTTTTCAAATTTTTAACGCTATTAGATGTGGTAACAAAATAGTTTGTATCATTAAATTGAAATTATAGTTTAGTTAAAATCCATTTAAATGACATTGTTTTGCAAATTATGGTTTGTGTTAGAAATATTTAATATTAAAATATGAAAATTATTAAAATGGATTCGGAAAACTAACTAACCACTAACTAACTAACTAACTAACTAACTAACTAACTAACTAACTAACTAACTAACTAACTAACTAACTAACTAACTAACTAACTAACTAACTAACTAACTAACTAACTAACTAACTAACTAACTAACTAACTAACTAACTAACTAACTAACTAACTAACTAACTAACTAACTAACTAACTAACTAACTAACTAACTAACTAACTAACTAACTACTAACTAACTAACTAACTAACTAACTAACTAACTAACTAACTAACTAACTAACTAACTAACTAACTAACTAACTAACTAACTACTAACTAACTAACTAACTAACTAACTAACTAACTAACTAACTAACTAACTAACTAACTAACTAACTAACTAACTACTAACTAACTAACTAACTACTAACTAACTAACTAACTAACTAACTAACTAACTAACTAACTAACTAACTAACTAACTAACTAACTAACTAACTAACTAACTAACTAACTAACTAACTAACTAACTAACTAACTAACTAACTAACTAACTAACTAACTAACTAACTAACTAACTAACTAACTAACTAACTAACTAACTAACTAACTAACTAACTAACTACTAACTAACTAACTAACTAACTAACTAACTAACTAACTAACTAACTAACTAACTAACTAACTAACTAACTAACTACTAACTAACTAACTAACTAACTAACTAACTAACTAACTAACTAACTAACTAACTAACTAACTAACTAACTAACTAACTAACTAACTAACTAACTAACTAACTAACTAACTAACTAACTAACTAACTAACTAACTAACTAACTAACTAACTAACTAACTAACTAACTAACTAACTAACTAACTAACTAACTAACTAACTAACTAACTAACTAACTAACTAACTAACTAACTAACTAACTACTAACTACTACCTACTAACTAACTAACTAACTACTCTAACTACTAACTAACTAACTAACTAACTAACTAACTAACTAACTAACTAACTACTAACTAACTAACTACTAACTAACTAACTAACTAACTAACTAACTAACTACTAACTACTAACTAACTAACTAACTAACTAACTACTAACTAACTAACTAACTAACTAACTAACTAACTAGTTTATAGTAAAGTCTAGTCGATAGACTAGAGTCTAGCCTATAGACTAAAGTAAAGTCTAGCCTATAGACTAAAGTAAAGTCTAGCTCATAGACTATAGTCAAGTCTAGTATATAGAAAACAGTAAAGTCTAGTCTATAGACTACAGTAAAGTCTAGCCTATAGACTATAGTCAAGTCTAGTATATAGACTACAGTAAAGTCTAGTCTATAGGCTACAGTAAATTCTAGTCTATAGACTACAGTAAAGTCTAGTCTACAGACTAGAGAAAAGTCTAGGCTATAGACTACAGTAAAGTCTAGTCTATAGACTACAGTAAAGTCTAGTCGATAGCCTACAGTAAATTCTAGTCTATAGACTATAAGTAGTAAAGTCTAGTCTATAGTCTATAGTAAAGTCTAGTCTATAGACTATAGTAAAGTCTTGTGTATAGACTAGAGTAAACTCTGGTCTATAGACTACAGTAAAGCCTAGTATATAGATTAGAGTAAAGTCTAGTATATAGACTAGAGTAAAGTCTAGTCTACAGACTAGAGCAAAGTCTGGTCTACAGACTAGAGCAAAGTCTAGTCTTAGGACTAGATCAAAGGCTAGTCTAAGGACTAGACCAAAGGCTAGTCTATAGATCAGAGTAAAGTCTAGTTTTTATATTACAGTAAAGTCTAATCAATAGACTACAGTAAAGTCTGGACTAAAGATTACGGTAATTTCCAGTGTATTAGACTACAGTAAAGTCTAGTTTGTAGAATACAGTAAAGTCCAGTTTTTAGACTACAGTAAAATCTAGTTTATAGGCTACAGTAAAGTCTAGTCTATAGAATACAGTAAATACTAGTCTAAAGACTACAGTAAAGTCTAGTCTATAGACTGTGGTAAAGTTTGATCTATAGACTAGAGTAAAGTCTAATCTTTAGACTGGAATAAAGTCTAATAGTCTTGTTTATAGACTACAGTAACGTCTAGTTTATACGCTATATAGTTATTATTCTGAATGCGTTACATATTTTGATACACAAAATTTACTATTTCCCCTAAAATTTACAAGTCACAAAAACCTTTGAGATTTAAACTCTTCATTTATTATTGTTTAAACTAAAAGACCTTGGAACTGTGATTTTATTTCTTTAATTTTATGTTGGCTTTTCTTTTATAACAAAAACATAATAAAAAAATAACAAATTCAAGTAAAAATTCATACAAATAAAAAATGGAAATTATTTGTTTAAATCTTTTAATTTCTTTATTTTTTGCTTATTTTCCCGCTGCTTTAATAATTTCAAAAGGAAATTTGTTTATTGTAGCGTTTAAAATGTTAAACATGTTCCCAAAAATGTTTTTCATTAAATTTGTTTACATTCTTGAGCAGGAAAAAATATAAATTAGAAAATAATTAATCAATTTTAAAAACAAAATGAAAATAAATAAAAATAAAAAATATATTACTTTGACTTTTAGCACAGTTTAATTGTTGAAATTTTTAACAAACGTTTGTTTGCATTTTTTTATTTGGTTAGAAATATAAAAATAAATAAATGTATTAAAGAAAATAAATAGGGCAATAGGGGTGATGTTATAAAGAATAATAAACTTGAATGAAATATATACTACAGACCCAAGTAGAAAAAAATATATATTTTTTGGAGATTTTCACAGTTTTATGAGGCTCTTACAGAGCGACTTGAACATCATCGGCTGATCGCAAGATATATTTGTTTGATTATATTCCTAAATGTATAGATGGTGAAAAACTCCTTCATATGATCAAGTTATTTTTTGCAAACTCCTTTTATTAAATCCTAACACTTTACTTTTCAAAATTAATTTTATTTCAATCAATATTTAACATTATTTTACATCTACCAAATATACCCTATCCATCCGAGTACCACCCAGCTTATGCAAATTTCAATAGACAATAAAAATTTAAATGTATACATTTGATGTCTGAACATGTTGCTTTTGAAGTGGCACACAAAATACTCAGAACAACACACTCACACACAAAATCAGAAAGTGGTAGCTTAAGGTGGCACAAGTACGGATGATGACATCATTGTACTCATGACGTTTTCTTCTATTTTTGTATCAAATAAAAATTTAAATTTATCATTTAAGGCATCTGGGCGGATGTACATGAGGATGAACTGAATCCTAAAGTGTATAATGATATCAGCATTAGGGTAGTTCAAAGTTGAACTCTGAATATAAAAGTTCCAACAGAACAGCTGTTCAGATTCTAATGAACTATTTCAAGTTGTTCAGATTCTGAAGAACTTTCTCATAGAAAAGTTGTTCAGATTCTGAAGAACTTTTTCATAGAAAAGTTGTTCAGATTCTGAAGAACTTTTTCATAGAAAAGTTGTTCAGATTCTGAAGAACTTTTTCATAGAAAAGTTGTTCAGATTCTGAAGAACTTTTTCATAGAAAAGTTGTTCTGATTCTGAAGAATTTTTTCATAGAAAAGTTGTTCAGATTCTGAAGAATTTTTTCATAGAAAAGTTGTTCAGATTCTGAAGAACTTTTTCATAGAAAAGTTGTTCAGATTCTGAAGAACTTTTTCATAGAAAAGTTGTTCAGATTCTGAAGAACTTTTCATAGAAAAGTTGTTCAGATTCTGAAGAACTTTTTCATAGAAAAATTGTTCAGATTCTGAAGAACTTTTTCATAGAAAAATTGTTCAGATTCTGAAGAACTTTTTCATAGAAAAATTGTTCAGATTCTGAAGAAATTTTTCGTAGAAAAGTTGATCAGATTCTGAAGAACTTTTTCATAGAAAATTTGTTCAGATTCTGAAGAACTTTTTCATAGAAAATTTGTTCAGATTCTGAAGAACTTTTTCGTTGAAACGATGTTCAGATTCTGAAGAAATTTTTTATAGAAAAGTTGTTCAGATTCTGAAGAAATTTTTCATAGAAAAGTTATTCTGATTCTGAAGAACTTTTTCATAGAAAAGTTGTTGAGATTTTGAAGAACTTTTTCATAGAAAAGTTGTTCAGATTCTGAAGAACTTTTTTATACAAAAATTGTTCAGATTCTTAAGAACTTTTTCATAGAAAAGTTGTTCAAATTCTAAAGAACTTTTTCGTAGAAACGATGTTCAGATTCTAAAGAACTTTTTCATAGAAAAGTTGTTCAGATTCTGAAGACCTTTTTCATAGAAAAGTTGTTCAGATTCTGAAGAATTTTTTTATAGAAAATTTGTTTAGATTCTGACGAAATTTTTCATAGAAAAGTTTTTCAGACTCTGAAGAACTTTTTCATAGAAAAGTTGTTGAGATTTTGAAGAACTTTTTCATAGAAATAGAGGACATTTTCAATAGAAAATTTGTTCAAGTTCTGGAGAACTTTTCAATTGAAAAGTTGTTCATATCCTGAAGAACTTTTTTTATAGAAAAGTTTTTCAGATTTTGAAGACCTTTTTCACGGGAAAAGTTTTTATTCTGAAGGTTTTGCAATAGAAAGGTTGTTCAGATTCTGAAGAACATTATCGTGAAAGAGTTATTTATATTCATAAGATTTTCCCATAAAAAGTTTTTTAGATTTCTAAAGCTTTTTAAAACAAATGTTTTTCAGACTCCGAAGAACTTTTTGATTCTAAAGAACTTTTCATTAGAAAAGTTGTTCAGATTTTAAAGAGCCACCCTAATAATATACTAAAATTTCCTTTCATATATGAAGAAGAACTAAATCAAAAGTGTTTCGAATACTTAAACATATACCCCCTACACATACATACATATATGAAATGATGTCTTTTCTTATTTAATACTTGAATAAATTTGAAAAGTAACTTTTATGAAAATCAAATAATTCAGTTTCTTATTTTCCTTAAGTTTAACTGATATGAACTGGGGGTGGAGAAGGGCTTTGATTAAGTATGGCCACTTAAGCATGTCGGTATGCTCGTATGAGTTCACGTTTCATTGCTTAAATATGAATTGAATCAATTATTAATTCAAATATTGTCTAAATTTAGAGCAAATATTTGATTTGAAATGTTTTTTCTTAAGAAGATATTTTCAAAATAGTTATAGAAACTATGGTGCAAAGGAAAGGGAAATGTTGTAACAAAAATGTAAAGTGTTGAACTTATTAATAGAAATGAAATAATGAGATTATTTATTCATTATGTCTGTTTTCTTGACTTACCCCCTTTTGAAGCACTAAATGTTCTTAAACGATCTAAATCCTCATCATCGCTCACTCTCAGATGATGCATATTCACGGTGGGTACATCCAGAAATGCATTTGATCTGCGATGCGCTATAACGAAACAAAAACAAGCAACATATTATTAAATAATTTATTAACTAAAAACTTATTTAATAACAATTAATTCCAAAGTAATAAAATGCTATCCGAAAGACCATCCTTGATAAGTTTAATGTATTAACAAAAATAACAAATCACTCTCCAGAGAATAAACTCAAACACCTCAGATTTGTGTCTTCTTGGGCCTTCAACTTAAATAAAATATTTAATATCTCGTGTAAACTTTCTTGTTTTTCATTCGAAAATAAACAAATAAATCGTAACAATAAATTAACTTTTAGTCTTTCTACAACTCTTTTCATTAGGGAATTGACCCTTATCAAGCCCTGACAGTATGAAATAGCAGGCTAGAAAAATGTTACGTTTAACAGAAAGTATCAGCACCTTCAAATAAATTAAATAAAAAAACTTAAATGTTGCCAAGAAACAAAAAGAGAAAGTAAAATGTTTGTGTCCTTAATAACAGATTTATTCTGTGTGTTTATTTGTTAAAGTTAAAGGAACAAAGCACTTAAATCAATTTTTACATACATTTCTACTTTGTTTGCTCGTTTTTTAGCTCTGTTATAAAAGGAACCACCTACATCAACAAAATAAATAAGAAAATACAGTCGGTCAAGTAAGTCTGAACGAAAGAGATATCCTAAAGGAGGGCTATTAAGGAAAACTAAGTCCAATAGATGTGGTAGGAAATCAATCGCCATTATATAGATTACAAATAGATAGTCAGAATGCTAGCCCAAAGGAATCAATGCATTTCAATGAACCTGTTTGCTTTAGGTGTTTTCAAGTATCTACTTTCTAGATTACTTGGTGATAGAAAAGGGACAACTGTCTGCTCTCTCCCTTACAAAGGGGACACTTAAGTGATGACAATTTTCACGCTATTTATCGAACATAACACACTCTTTGTTTAGACGGATAGATTCAAGTCTAAGATAGAGTAGGGGACTTTTAGATGGAAAGTAAAATTCAGTCTGTACAGCGTCCAGCAAGCTGAAATTCCAGGTTAGACTTTTCACCAATATCCATACTGTTTCATAAATGTCAAGAGATGGCGCAAAATTCTAACCTGAAATGTGCCGGAACACTCTGATATTCTCAGTAATGAAACTCAGGTACTCGTACAGAGTTTTAACAGACTTCTTCCCGGTAGATATTTGTGAGATTGATTCATTCATCAGTGTTACAGATGGGTTTGCTCCTACTATATGTGGGCCAATAAGTTTAAATAAACTTTTGGAATGTTACCAATATCAGTAAAAACTCACAATACTTTAGTCTCTAATATAGCGGTGTAGTAAAATCAATAAGTAGGTCAGCCTAAGTATAAACAAAAACATCAACATGTTTTAGCCTGTTTTTCTTTTGTTCTTGACTTTTTTCTTTTATTTATTGTACTTCACTTGTACACACATATATGTTTTTGTATGTTTGTGTGTGTGTGTGTGTGTGCATTTATAAGGATCAATATTTTAACATTTCACTTGGAGCATTTAGTTTAGGGTTTGTAGGCGGAAAAAGTTGTCTTATAAAATAACAAGACATTTAACTTTCACAATTTCGATCATTAAATATTATACTTAAGATATAAGAAATAACATATCGAAACTATTTTCTTTGTTTATTTCACGGAAATGAAAAAACTGAATTTCAGGAAATTACAAAGAAACCCTTGTATTTTGGAATAAACTAATGTATAGGACGATGTAAATAACCTAAGGAATGAAACAAATAAAGCAAAGTAGTTATGTATTGTTGTTTTGCTGTTTAGTTACTGTATCCATAATTCTTGGTGCAAATATTTAGTCTATAACCAGACTATAGACCAGACTATAGACTAGACTATAGACTAGACTATAGACTAGACTATAGACTAGACTATAGACCAGACTATAGACTACTATAGACTAGACTATAGACTAGACTATAGACTAGACTATAGACTAGACTATAGACTAGACTATAGACTAGACTATAGACTAGACTATAGACTAGACTATAGACTAGACTATAGACTAGACTATAGACTAGACTATAGACTAGACTATAGACTAGACTATAGACTAGACTATAGACTAGACTATAGACTAGACTATAGACTAGACTATAGACTAGACTATAGACTATAGACTAGACTATAGACTAGACTATAGACTAGACTATAGACTAGACTATAGACTAGACTATAGACTAGACTATAGACTAGACTATAGACTAGACTATAGACTACTATAGACTAGACTATAGACTAGACTATAGACTAGACTATAGACTAGACTATAGACTAGACTATAGACTAGACTATAGACTAGACTATAGACTACTATAGACTAGACTATAGACTAGACTATAGACTAGACTATAGACTAGACTATAGACTAGACTATAGACTAGACTATAGACTAGACTATAGACTAGACTATAGACTAGACTATAGACTAGACTATAGACTAACTATAGACTAGACTATAGACTAGACTATAGACTAGACTATAGACTAGATATAGACTAGACTATAGACTAGACTATAGACTAGACTATAGACTAGACTATAGACTAGACTATAGACTAGACTATAGACTAGACTATAGACTAGACTATAGACTAGACTATAGACTAGACTATAGACTAGACTATAGACTAGACTATAGACTAGACTATAGACTAGACTATAGACTAGACTATAGACTAGACTATAGACTAGACTATAGACTAGACTATAGACTAGACTATAGACTAGACTATAGACTAGACTATAGACTAGACTATAGACTAGACTATAGACTAGACTATAGACTAGACTATAGACTAGACTATAGACTAGACTATAGACTAGACTATAGACTAGACTATAGACTAGACTATAGACTAGACTATAGACTAGACTATAGACTAGACTATAGACTAGACTATAGACTAGACTATAGACTAGACTAAGACTAGACTATAGACTAGACTATAGACTAGACTATAGACTAGACTATAGACTAGACTATAGACTAGACTATAGACTAGACTATAGACTAGACTATAGACTAGACTATAGACTAGACTATAGACTACACTATAGACTACACTATAGACTAGACTATAGACTAGACTATAGACTAGACTATAGACTAGACTATAGACTAGACTATAGACTAGACTATAGACTAGACTATAGACTAGACTATAACTAGACTATAGACTAGACTATAGACTAGACTATAGACTAGACTATAGACTAGACTATAGACTAGACTATAGACTAGACTATAGACTAGACTATAGACTAGACTATAGACTAGACTATAGACTAGACTATAGACTAGACTATAGACTAGACTATAGACTAGACTATAGACTAGACTATAGACTAGACTATAGACTAGACTATAGACTAGACTATAGACTAGACTATAGACTAGACTATAGACTAGACTATAGACTAGACTATAGACTAGACTATAGACTAGACTATAGACTAGACTATAGACTAGACTATAGACTAGACTATAGACTAGACTATAGACTAGACTATAGACTAGACTATAGACTAGACTATAGACTAGACTATAGACTAGACTATAGACTAGACTATAGACTAGACTATAGACTAGACTATAGACTAGACTATAGACTAGACTATAGACTAGACTATGACTAGCTATAGACTAGACTATAGACTAGACTATAGACTAGACGATAGACTAGACTATAGACTAGATATAGACTAGACTATAGACTAGACTATGACTATAGACTATAGACTAGACTATAGCTCCCTAACTAAACCCCAGTACTTGGGTTTATTCATATTCCGTTTTAACATAAATAACGTTTTTGGGTACTTCCTAATATATGTATATTATAAATTTCATAATTGATTTATCTTTGCTTTATGAATTTCTATGGAAATCATTGAAATTCAGAAGACCAGTATCGCTATTGTTAATAAAATATGTTCTTTAACTTAACAAATGTTTTCCTGATTCCACAATAAAACCCTAAATGCCTCCAACCCTGTCAAAAAATAGGAAAAAATTTATACATAAATACTTTTAGAGACCCTTGAACTCAAAAAAATAACAATATATTCAAAATAAATTCCTTGATCCTTTTTGCCTAAATGTAAGCCTAATGAAGGTACAAATATTTAGGACAAAAAGAAAAAAAACTAAAAATTCAATGAACTTTTTTCCAATGAAACTAAATTTGTAGTTTTAATAAATTACCAAAAACCTTATATTATTTGTTGTTGCGGATGATAGAATAGTAACGAACCTCATCCATTAGCCGGAAAGTGTGCGTGTGAGCTCATGGAAACCCAAGGGATGGCCATTTATATAGATACTTGTGCATAAAACCAAATGGTTACAAAACACATGTGGCAAATTAAAGCGAGACGTATGTGTGTATCATTAAAAACGTTTTAAATTTAAAGACAATAAATGTTGGTGTTGTAGTTGTTTCTTATATATTTTTTAATTCAAATGTATTTTTTATTAAGTATTGATTTTGACATTAAGTATCTTTTTATTATTTTTATTTTTATTGTTATTAATTCTTTTATAATTTTTCTTTTGTAGCTCTTTTTTTAATGTTATAATAAAATCGTCATTAACCTCATAAACAGCATCATAAGGAATTCATTTATTTATTAGTTCGCCTATTAATTTTTGTTTTTTGAAAGTGTGTTAAAAATATGTTGATATCTTAAATATCTTTTGTAAAATTAAATAATTTTTTATTATTTTGTTAAGTCATTTTTATAATTTTTTTTCTACTTATTAATTTTGTTTTTGTATTCAACAAGTTTTAATGACTGTTATGAAACTGTATTTGTTTTTTGAACTGACGGCCATGTCCGCTAAGTTAGCAAAATTTGGAATGGAGAACTAACTAACTAACTAACTACTAACTAACTAACTAACTAACTAACTAACTAACTAACTAACTAACTAACTAACTAACTAACTAACTAACTAACTAACTAACTAACTAAC